CCCCGCCTTAGACAATAGGTATGATGAATTCCTGACCTTGTTTCTTTCAAGCAAAGTTAGAGAGAACATGCATAATTTATAACTGTGAAAAATGTCAGTGTGCAACTTGCTGGAAATAATAAAGTTCTGCTCAAAAACTAAATCTATTCAAACATGAAAAATGAAAATGTTTCAACTTAAAAAGTGGTAGGACCCTCAGTTTAGTACTATGTAAAAATATATATACAAACCCAAATCTTATGTTATCATTGTTTAAATATCTCTCATTCATAGAACAAGGAAATTGTAGTACAAAAACCGGGCAATATTTTTTTCCACTTATGTCTTTGGATATGGTATATACCAACCTTTCTTTGGAAGTCCCCGTCCTTTCCCAGATCTGGATCGCCTATCTAGCAACCTTCCCTTTGGACTGGTTGGTACAGTTACTCCACTTCTAATGGCTTCGCTTCCATTATCACTAACTGAATCGCCTCTGCCAGAGTCCCGGGATGAGTTTTTCCGTAGGCGCCTTTTTGCCTTGGCATTAATTTTAGCTTCATTAATGGAGGATGCTGAAATCCAATTTCCATTTATCTCATTCTTTATATCCTCAGTCCCAGCATTTTCTTCATCGCCAGAAAACAGAGAGTCACTTAAGTTATCAGGATCTTAAAGAGGAAAATGAAGAAAGGTAAGTATTTTAACCATCTACTGTTATACTAATTATAGTCATAACTTAGGTTGAATCACATGAAATTACCACCTTTGTAGGTCACTCATGGTCACATATTGGCAATTTCTTATGGTTCAATCTAAATGACAACTAACTAGGATTACTTTTCACATTATCAAAAGTAAACTAAGGCATTGAATACAAAATGAACAAAGTTTACTAAAAGCATGCTATCTCATGTTATACCATCTATCTTAATATAAACACCAAATATAAAACCTTTAGACTTTGGTGAGATAAGAGAGCTAAGCAGTTGAAGATATAACACTAAGGATCTTGGAAGAAAGATAAACGAATATGTACAGAATGCCTAATATTATTTATCAGGCACTGTGTTGACACTGTCATTTACCCACAAGTGTGAGATCTATTTACTACATCATTTATACAGTTAAGGAAACTAAGGCTAAAATTATTTAAATAACTTGCCAAACATCTCATGATTGATTATAGATACTTAGGAAATATTACTAATCTGGCAAATATGTGATCACATATGATTATTGAGTTGAACTGTTCATTGCTTTCAAAGATAAAGCTTGCTTTCAAAGCCATCATTTAAAGTCCTAATTCATCTCTCCAAACTTGACCCCTATTACTTAGCCATCCTCTGAAAATCTTCCAGCCTATATACTAATAAGATTTGTACATTACCCCCTGAAAGATAGCAACATATCTGGAGTTCCAAGTGGTCTTCAGTTTAGAATGTCATCCTCACTGCTCTTTCAGTTACCAAAATCCTTGAGGATATAGGTCATGTATTACTTCCTCTGTAAAAACTTTCCTCACACTTCTACCAACAATAACACTAATGCTCTTATCACTCTTTAACCACATCACCAAAATCACTTTCTTTTTATATAGCAGTCCTGCTTTTCCAAATAAGTCATAAGCTTCAAAAGAGGAATTTTACTTCTTGGTATCCTCAGCACCTAGTAGAGTATCCTTCATACTATCAACTCAAATGTCTGTGCAGATCAAATGACACAGACGGTCAGCTTTGTTCTGAAAACTTTGTAAGTCAGAAGACTACTAAATTAGTTACTCATAGGCCAAAGGTTTGTTGTTGTTGTTTTTTTTTCACTTAGGCTAACTCAAGTCAGAGTTTAAGTCCTCAGATGGTTTTAAATATTTCCAAATGTAATTAGGATGTGCCAAGTCTATGTGCCTGGGCTTTGACATGTTTTAATATGTTGAAACTGAATTTTTTTAAATCAACCTTTAAAAAGCATAGATGTGTTAAAACCTTTATAATTCTTGACAAAACATAAAATTTAGAAACAAACATCATGTCAAATTACTTCATCAGTCTCATAAGCATTCTCTATGCCTTCGGTCCTCAAACCATTCTCCAAACTGCATGGAGACCGATTTTCTAAAACATGCCCCCGCTGAAAACCATTTGAAGGTATTCTCATGGGGTCAAAATGTAAATTCATTAATTTGTAATTTCTGATCTTGTCCCTGCTTACATCACCAGAATAATTGCTGACTTCTCCACATTCATATAGTTAGAGCTCAGATTTGGTACCATAGGGGGGATTATGATATGCCTATATGTGACCATTACTGACCTACTAATGGGGGATTCATTTAGCAGAATAATACAGAATGTTTAGAGAAAAGAGAAAGTATAAAGTGGGAGACCAGCTAAGAAAATGTTGCAGTAATTTAGTCACAAACTAACTGGAAAGGGAAAGGTTAATAACTTTGGGGTAAATAAGAAAGTAGTACTTTTAACCAAAAAATAACGTGCTTTTAAACAAAATAGATTCAAGAAAAGTGAAATGATACCTTGCAAAGATTTTTAGGAAAGGAAGCCAGGGTTGGCTATAACCATCATTATAGCTAAACTAATAGTCATAGTAGTAATACTATAACTTTTGTCATTACCATCACTATTGTTACCTATTAAATACCAGATTCTATCCTACGCACTTCACATACATGGTTTATAATCTTCACAAAACTATAATGAAGATGTTTGTCTTCATTTTACAGATGGAAAATGTTTCATAGAAAAGTTACACATCTAAAACAGATTGTGGTCAGAATAAAACCCACATGTGAATCTCAGATGACTGTAATTATAGGAAATACAAAGCTAGAGTACAGCAGAGTAGTGACAAAGAGACAGGATGAACATAGAAGGAATGTAAAGAAAGAAAAAAAAAAGATTAAGAGGAAAGAGAAGGACCAGAGCTCAAATTAGATGGAGTTTCAAGTAGGAGTTGGTGGTTGAAGAAAACATTAAACATCTACTTGTAATATACTGGTTTTATTCTACAACTAGAGGCCCAATGCACAAAATTCATGCATGGGTTTTTTCTAATCCAAAATTAACCTAACAATCTGAAGGTACTGAGTAAATAAATGACTTCCATGCATATATTAATGTGTGTGCCTATATACATATATAGTCATAAATTACATACACATTAGTATATATAATCATATACATATGACTTGACAGTTATAGATTATAAACACAGACATAGAACATATGACTTGACAACATATGAGTAAACAACGAACATGAGATAAAAAAAGTGTGTAAGTATTAAAACATATGTTAAAAAAGCAAAAACACAGATACCTGGTCATCGTCATAGTTAGGATCTTTCACATCCACTTCCTCCACATCATATACCTGCCCGGGTGTACCCCAAACACCTTTGCCTCCTGCACCACCTGGAAAGTTTTGAATTGAAAAAGCAAAGAGAAATTTGAAAGAACTCTACACGTTCAGATGTTAATTAAAAATAACAGCTGCCCGGCCGGTGTGCTCAGTGGCTGAGCACTGACACATGCACCAAGAGGTCGTTAGTTCAATTCCCAGTCAGGGCATATATAGGGGTTGGGAATCGATCCTCAGTATGGGGCATGCAGGAGGCAACTGATTGATGTTTCTATCTCTCTCTTTCCCTACTCCCTTCCTCTCTCTTAAAAAAAAATCAATAAAACATATTTTAAAATAAGTAACAGCTAAAAAAACTGTATTTTATTTTTTCCAGTTGAGACTTATACTTTAAACCTCTTTTTATTCTGATCACTGCTTTTTCAGTAAAGATTAGATATTTTATAATCTACTTAGGAACATCAAGTTGAAATAGTTTATAAAGTTAAAACTAAAAAGGCAGCTGCTTTAAAATAAAAGCCAAACAAAAAGATCACAGAAAAAACAAAAACAACTATATTGGGGACCTCGAAGAAGGTGATATTTCAATTTAGCTCTAAATTTTATTTGGCATTTCTTGAGATCAACACAAAAAGAAATTATGTTGAGCCAGTACAATGTGGCATAGAAAACTCAATAAGGAAGAAATTAATTAACAAAGAAACACCATGACCACCATCATGTTTTAAAGTCAAATACTCTTTAGATATAAAAGTGCATATTAAACTATATTTTACAACTAGCAATGTTACAAATAATTGCTTTTTAAGCATTAAGAGCACTGATCATTATTTCTCTCTACTTCTATATACAAGCAGATCAGTAGAAATTTAACAAATGAAACTTTCAAAGTTGCTTTTCTACATAAACTTACTGAATGTTTTTATAAGGCTCAATATATTGAATAATTTTAAAGAAGTTTACAGTATCACCAATATTTTAGGGGTTTTTATTTTATATCCAGAGTATAATCCTTGTCACCAGAGCAAAAAAGAATCTGAGAATTAGTTTCTATTTTTGATCCAACCAATGGCTATAGAGCCATTCAACAAAATAACTATTTTGGACATATGACAAAAACATTTTGCAAGAACCCTAGGCTATTAAGTTGAAGGTCCCACCATTCAGAAGTTAGTAAAATCACCAAACTGTATCAAAATCCTACCACCGACAAAAGATGACAGACCCCTCCCCCCCTTAATCAACAAATATTTAAGTACAGTATCTATGTAGCTAGTCACTACTCCAAGCACTAGAGACACAGCAGAGAAACAGATAATTCTACTCCACTATCCAAGATAAATAGAGCTAAAGAGAACGTGGAACTAGATCTATGAAATCTAATTAATATTCTGAGAATAATATTACCAATCAAATTTACATGTATCATGTATTCTTCACAATGACCATAATTTGATTCATTAGACCAGGGGTGGGGAATGTCCGGCCCTCAGGCTGTATAATTTGGTCTGGCCCTGCCAAGGCATTAGGGGTGAGTTAATTAAATGTTTGACCAAATATAGCGGGCTAATTTTTAAGTTGATAATTTAGTAAATATCCAAATGGCCCTTGGCAGAAAAAGGGTTCCCCCCCACCCCGCCTTAGACAATAGGTATGATGAATTCCTGACCTTGTTTCTTTCAAGCAAAGTTAGAGAGAACATGCATAATTTATAACTGTGAAAAATGTCAGTGTGCAACTTGCTGGAAATAATAAAGTTCTGCTCAAAAACTAAATCTATTCAAACATGAAAAATGAAAAAGCTTTAACTTAAAAAGTGGTAGGACCCTCAGTTTAGTACTATGTAAAAATATATATACAAACCCAAATCTTATGTTATCATTGTTTAAATATCTCTCATTCATAGAACAAGGAAATTGTAGTACAAAAACCGGGCAATATTTTTTTCCACTTATGTCTTTGGATATGGTATATACCAACCTTTCTTTGGAAGTCCCCGTCCTTTCCCAGATCTGGATCGCCTATCTAGCAACCTTCCCTTTGGACTGGTTGGTACAGTTACTCCACTTCTAATGGCTTCGCTTCCATTATCACTAACTGAATCGCCTCTGCCAGAGTCCCGGGATGAGTTTTTCCGTAGGCGCCTTTTTGCCTTGGCATTAATTTTAGCTTCATTAATGGAGGATGCTGAAATCCAATTTCCATTTATCTCATTCTTTATATCCTCAGTCCCAGCATTTTCTTCATCGCCAGAAAACAGAGAGTCACTTAAGTTATCAGGATCTTAAAGAGGAAAATGAAGAAAGGTAAGTATTTTAACCATCTACTGTTATACTAATTATAGTCATAACTTAGGTTGAATCACATGAAATTACCACCTTTGTAGGTCACTCATGGTCACATATTGGCAATTTCTTATGGTTCAATCTAAATGACAACTAACTAGGATTACTTTTCACACTATCAAAAGTAAACTAAGGCATTGAATACAAAATGAACAAAGTTTACTAAAAGCATGCTATCTCATGTTATACCATCTATCTTAATATAAACACCAAATATAAAACCTTTAGACTTTGGTGAGATAAGAGAGCTAAGCAGTTGAAGATATAACACTAAGGATCTTGGAAGAAAGATAAACGAATATGTACAGAATGCCTAATATTATTTATCAGGCACTGTGTTGACACTGTCATTTACCCACAAGTGTGAGATCTATTTACTACATCATTTATACAGTTAAGGAAACTAAGGCTAAAATTATTTAAATAACTTGCCAAACATCTCATGATTGATTATAGATACTTAGGAAATATTACTAATCTGGCAAATATGTGATCACATATGATTATTGAGTTGAACTGTTCATTGCTTTCAAAGATAAAGCTTGCTTTCAAAGCCATCATTTAAAGTCCTAATTCATCTCTCCAAACTTGACCCCTATTACTTAGCCAT